AAGCAGACCAAGAAGACGGTGGAAAGTTGACATGCAGGCACACCTTACAACACTCGGAGCCACCAAAGAGAAATAGAAGGCCAATCAGAGAGATGCCTGGGAACAGGTGATATCTGGAGCCATGAGCCTCAAGGACTCAAGAATAGTGAAGAAGCAGAAGCTGTAACACCTGATGAAATTTTTTACCAATGAATCACTTCAGTGTACATTATGGAAGTATAGAATGCCAGCAGTTTGTACTGACATTAACAAACACATTAATAGACACAAATGTATGAAACACTTAGATCTAATAAAACTGATTTAATGTGAATAAAATATTACAATCTTATGTTTAGACAAAGACTTTCTAACCTTCTTTTATGTGTACCAAATATTTTAACATCCATTTTGTGCTGTCCACCTCTCCTCCAGCTATTCTTGCTTGTGTTACCTTAATTTTAATTTTTTTTAAATTTTCACTTTCTTTGCTCCTCCGCCCACCTTTCCTTTTTTTTTTAAATGTGTGTTCCACTCCCCCCCCCCCCCCTAATCTCCCACCCAAACTGCTGGTGTACCTCACAGGCTGAGAATCACAAGTTTAGCGTGTCAGAATGGAAGTACATAACTTATTATGCACTAACAATTGTACCTGGAAATTGTCGGCTGGCTGTAAAGGAAACACAGATGGAGTCCAATCATCTTGGAAGAAACCTCTGAGAACAATAAGGTTAGTCCCCACCCCTCTCTCATCTTGTAAAGTTACAGTCAAACTATGGCTGTTGTCAGGTGGATTGCTAAAATGAAACCAGAAGGATAAGCAGCGGGCAGAATCAGCACTATACTGTTGGGTCAATATTCTTGCTTGATTACCACTTTCTGTGTTTGACATATTTACCATCAAATAGTGACCTAAACAAAAGAGAGACAACAAGAACAATGTCATGACATATATGTTATTACAGTATTCGTACAGGTTTTAGCTAAGGTTAAAGTTCAGACAAAACATGGATATTATAAACAAATAAGTAACTTAATATATTAAAATCAGCTTTTTTTTTATTTTATATTTTCAGGTTTTTCACTAAAACAGCAGAAAGTCCTGGTGTTTGTCCACCTCTGGACAAAATGTGAGTGTTGTGTGCACATCCATTTTACAGATCTGATTTATTTTTATGCAGACTGTTGGTTCCTTGCCTCTCATGCAGATGCCCTCCAACTTTTGAGGAAACCCCCCAATTAGTCAACTCCTACAACATGTTTGTTTGGGAGGCAATGAGTCCATTCTTGTTTTCCCCACAATGGGGCCTCAGAACTCACAAGGGGGATTGTATGAAAATGTAATACTTAAAAGTAGTACAATATATTTAAATAACATTCTACAAAAAAGTTGAAAGGTTAATAAAAAACAAGTCATTATGTTATTTCTTAGTCACTGTTATTATCAACATGTAGTGTTCTTTATTCAATTTATTATTTTTGAAGACAATAAACTCTGTCCTGTGCTGTAAAAAAAATATTTTTCATTAGGAAACATGCATTTACCTTAAATACATCTATCATTCATCATCAAGTGCCTTGCCAACTGGCATGGGCAGTCATGCCTTTCCACAATCTGCGATCCGCAACTGTGTGTATCAGTTCATGAGTTGACACCTCTTCATACCAATTTTAAAAGACTTTCAAGAATCTTCTCATCTGTCTTCCTCTGTCTCTCTTTCCAGAGATCTTTTCAGTGATCACAACATATTCTATTTTACCTCTTTTCATAAAAAGAATTAAAAATGATGACTCTCTTTTTCTGATGTTTGTAATAAGTTGTCTTCGAGCACCTGCCTCTTTCAAAACATCTGGGCTGCTCTTCTGAGCTGTCCAAGGAATTCTAAGGATTCTTCTGAAAAAATCACATCTCCGCAGCCTCAAGATATTGTGTCACCTTGTTTATTAATTGTCCAGGCTTCACAGTCGTATGTTAAAACTGGCTCTATATAGCATGGGAGAATTCTTTTCCTTCACAAAATATTCTTCATTTTGTTTTTAACATGTTATTAACATCTATCATTAATAATGTCTAAAAAAAACAATTTATTGATGATTTCTACCATTATTTATGAAGATCTTACCTTCACTGGTTCCATATGTATGATCAGTCTGTGGATCAGATCCTGCTGCCAAAGATGCTGATTGAAGAATCCAGTCAGCATCATCCAGATTATCCTGATCCATTTTGCACATTTCAGAGTCTTCAAAATCACAGAAATCTGCAATATTTAAAAACAACATTTAGTAAATGAATCAGCTGGAAGAGTTATTTATTCTATGACTCTTACCTGTGTGTTATTGTGGTATATGAAAGAGACAAAGAATAATAATACTACAACTTAATAAGCCTGTCATAAAAGACAATTAAGGAGGTTTGCATGAGCTGACTACTTCATTCTGTAAAACAACTTTAATTTAAAAAATACAGTCAATCCTGAACAACTTACAAAGATGTGTGTCTAGCAAGGGCCTTAACTATGCTTCAGGTAGAGGCGGGCGTTGGGGGTGATACTAGCCTTATCCTAGGAGGAGGAAATGCAGACTGAAAAACTTAATGCTTTGGCAAGACAAATCAGACTCTTCGCTTTGGCTAGCAGTTGGTCTATGAGGGAAGCTTTGACATGTGGATGGACAGAGCACACTGCTCTTCTGATCTGGCAGCTTCTGTAGCATGCCTTGATCCAAACGAACTGGTGTTACCTTTTGTTTGGAGTGAACAAGGTGTGCCGACAAGGTGTGCTTGGGTAACACATGGTCTCTATTGCTGCAAAGTTGCCTGGAAACTGTCTGAAAATAGAGCCTCACATACAACATCACTGCATCCAGTATCAGAATGGAGGTTGAGGCAGTAATGACAGCTTGCTGATGGCTTGAGAGCAGCACAGCCCAATAGGTGATAATTGTAATGGACTCACAGAGCATGCTTCAGAAATGTTAACTGGTGTCCTAGAGTGGCTTTCATGCCTTGATAAGACTCACATCAGCAGCATATCATGGATTTCCTGTTCAGGAGATTCAGATATGCGAGGTAATGAGCAGGTCGATAGATAACTGCTGCCACACCTCTAGGCTGTGAGCTACTTCATAATAAAGCGGACACAGTGTAGGCTCTCCAGAATCAAATAGACAGTGCAACAGAATGGACAGAGAATCTACACACCGAAAGACTAGATCATTGGGGGATAAGTAGAGGTTCAGGAAGATATTCAACACTGAGGGGAAAACAGAGACAGACTTTCAATCAGGTTGCTAACTGGTACTATTAGCATGTCAACTCTTCACTGGCTACTGAAGAAGGGGACAGAACACATGTGGGAATGTTCAGAGTGCAGTAGAGTGAATTCTTAATTAATGCATTCATACATTCATGGTCTCTCTAATACTGCCCAGGCTTTGTGCTAGGGAGAGGAGAAACTTTGGTTTTTATCGTAACATTGCAAGAGTTCCATTCCATTCATTCATGCAACAGCCAGTCACAGGCCCTGTCCTATGTTGTAAGGGTGTCAAGTATTCCTTTTTTCAATGGTTCAACCATTCTCTCTTTTCTCATGTCGTCACGTCGCACTTGCGAGATTATTGGCACATAGTGCTACCTGTGTGACGGTTCGTTAGCAGTTAAACTGGAATGTTCTTTTATTTCTTCTTTCTTTCTACTTTTTTAGGGGGCAAGCCACAGTCAAGGAACGTAGAAATACAAAAACATCCTAGTTTTGATACTCATGAAGTGTTGCACCTGCGGTTCTTCCCCCTGCATTACTTCTTACTTGTACACAGTCACCTGAGGTGCCTTAAAGAGATTCATGACAACACAACCTCCCACAAACATTGTATATGGCAAGTGAATGCCCAGCGAAGCCATATCATAACACCCCCACAACATAGGACATGGCCTGTGACTGGCCAAGGCATGAATGGGATGGGAGATCACTCTTGCCGTGCGGACACTATCGTGATTAGAACCAAAACTTCATTCCTGACCTAAATTAGATCTCCATAGGCTGTGATTTATAAGCCCCCCCCCCCCCTTCCTCCAAAGCTCATGGAACACTACTATCTGGAAAGGTGGAAAGGAAAAGTGCCAACAATGCTTCTTATAAAGATGATAGGCAGAAGCAAAGATGAAATATTAGACCATTCTTATACTGATTTTTACAAAATGATATTCACAATTGTCTGGAAAGAAAATGCGGAAAGGAACTGCTCTCTCCATTTCATCATGTTATGGTTTGAGATACTTGAAAGCCAAATTCTTCACAAATCAATGGCAGTATCCACCAGTTAAAACTATGAATGTATGTTTATTGCAAAGGACACAAAAAATATTGTTTAGTTTAGTAAAAAAATAGGTAGATGACAGTAAAGACAAATGAACAGCTTAATCTGTCAAATCTAATGTCATTAACTCAGTGAACTAATATCATTAACTGAGTGAACTAATATCATTAACTGAGTGAACTAATATCATTAACTGAGTGAACTAATATCATTAACTGAGTGAACTAATATCATTAACTCAGTGAACTAATGTCATTAGCTCAGTCAACTAATATCATTACTGAGTGAATTTGCTATGGAAGACAAACCCAAATATCATTAAGTTAGATTTGATTGCTGCAAGATGCAAGATTTGAAAACCTTAGAGTTAACAGATACCAAAACATCTTTATTAAACTAGTGATAGAGGAATGACTAGGAGAATGACAATTAGGGAGTAGTGGAGAGAGAAAGAGGAATAGTAGGATGGAAAAAAAAAAAAAAGGATATGAACACTACAGCTTCACTAATGCATTCCAACAGTCATCATTATCCAGTGAGTGTTGAATGAACATTTCTCACAATTTATTGTGAGAGGTAAATAGAAAACAAACAAAAAATAAAATATAGTTACCAGGAGGGGGACAACTTCCATGAAAGAGCCAGATGTCATCAAGATCAATATCCCCTTCATCTGAGACACCCACGACACCCTCAAAGATCACCTGAGTTGGCTGGGGACCTTGACCTATCTCCATAGTCTGATGATGCCAGCCTTCACCTTGGTTTCCAGACAGAGTCCAGTAGAGCTTCTGAGTCTGTCCCTGGGCCACATAGACATTCAGCCTGTTCACATCTCGGCCATACATGGCATAGTAGAAGCTGAGACATATGTGTTGGTCGCTGATAAAAGTGGGACTGGCTAACTGTGCTGTAGTATTGAACTTCTGACCAGAGGCATCCATGTAAACATGATGGCCTGTATAGTTAGTGATAAAGATTTATTTAGTTAGTCACATACAATTAATTCAGCCCATAAGTGCTTGTAACCCCTCCTCAGTATATGCCCAGCATATGGTGGCTTATGACACCAGTTCTGACTTAATTTATTAAGTAGTAGTAATAGTAATTTAAACAACAATATCCTGTTCAACCCATCCAGGTAATAATTCGGATGTATAAAGTTGTTTTTATCTAAATATTGGATATTTATGTCTATCAATTATGTTTTGTTTTTAACATTGTATAGCTGATATATTAATTGTATAAGACTGTAGGAGTAAAGATTAAGTTCATTATATTTTGTAAATTTTCACAATTATATTAACTCTTTGAGTCACAGGAAATGCATCACGCATTAATTTGTTACAACCGCATGGCCCAATCGACGCGTGACAAGTGAAGGTATCTACCACTGACCGGTCATTAAACCTGGACTGCTCAATTTAAACTTCCTTTCGAGTTCTTTGCATCTAATATTAGGCGTCCTCATTTAGAAAAGTGTTTTGAAAGCCAAAAATATAGTATATTGCCGAGTTACTGTGTTTGTTTGAAAAGAATATGGTCGCCAAGCAGTATTCTACCTGCATGCCAAAATTATTTACGGCTTTAGAAGCTTCAAATTTAAATAAAGATTGTGTTTATTCTATTTATTAAAAGTTAGATAGATAGCGTTGCGAATTAGAAGTGTTTCAGTCATTTAGAGAGTCAAACTTTGATGAGGGATATGTCTAATGTGTACTTCACGCAAAGGGTACAACGATAGCAAAGTCAGCTGGTACAAATAGAATAAACATTAGGGAAAAGACGATTTTTTTTTCTAGTGTCAGTTCTAGTGCTGTTTCCTTTATTATTTAGGAAAATAGCTACAAAATTACATGCAAAGTGAGTGTTATATAAACTTCATTTTGTGTGAAGATACTTATTGTTTTGGGAGTCAGTTTTCATTAGCTAATGGTGCTTTGTTATGATGCTTCAAAAGATTCTTTGGAACAAAATCTATTGTATATTTTTTTTTTAAATTTAATACGTTACTTATACATTGCTAATTTGTTCATATTAATTTATGATTCATTTTGGATATATTTTAACTAATTTTCCTCGAGTGCCATGGTGGTAAGTGGAAATTTTTTGTTCTTGTTTCATTTTACTAATTTTTGTAAACATACCGTCTGTTTATTTACTCATAATAAATTACTAAAGCAATTATTTGTTGTAGCTGTATTCTATAATTATTTTATAACAATCCCTGGTCACTTTGATGTATGTGCGCAGCAACTGAATTAGTATGGTCTGTTTTATTGTGTTACACTTGTGAAATTTAAATAATTGCATTACCACCCCTTGGGCCTCTGATGCTAAACCAGCGGGACTCAACAAGTTAATTTTAATGTGTAGTTGTCTATCTGCTGACTGAGGGGTTTCAACATGGGGTCCCATGTAGGAGAACTGAGTTCAACCTCTGGTAAAGTGATTAGAGTTTGTGTGTGTGTGTGTGTGAAAGTGTCGGAGATAAACATCCTAACCTGTTCGGTTCATGATGACAGCAGCAGACATGCAAGCCTAAACCCTCAGGCTCACAACCCCCTTGTCTACTCCACCCTAGGTGGTAAATACAGACAGTGGTGACAACACATAGGCAGTCTATCTTTGTCGATATTTAAAGTTATCTGGTCTGAGATACCATTTTTCTGTAATTATATCTATTAACTCCTTTTGCTAGCCCCTGTTCTTGTGATGCAATGTTAACCCATTGACTACCATGATCACACGCTATGTGATCAGCCAACTTTTACACCTGGTTGCCATAATCGCACCCCCTGTGATCATAACTTTGGATGCTTGCCGCCATGTTAAAAATGTGACTTTTGTGATAGGTATGGTTGAAGCCATTAGTCAATTAATTTCTCTGTGTTTCTGTAAGTGAAACAATTTGGTAATGCCTAAAGTGAATTTTCCATACATTTTTTGGTGGTGAGATCCCTATGTCAATGACGCATGGGGTGGATGTTTTGATAATGGTGGCTGGTCATTAGACCATCATGGTATAACAGTTTGGGGTATATTTCTGATGCTATGGCACATTTTCTTGATTGTTTTAAATCAGAAAGTGAAGGTAAAGATATTTCTGAACACTTTGATGACTATGAATTTGATAATTCTTACAAACTGCAATCAAAAACATCACCAGAGCCAGAATACAGGATGTTTTGCTGACAGCAGTGGCATGGCAGTCGGAGGTAACTGTGTTATGGTACATTAGTTCATGTCAACAGTTTCATGTTTGTGCTTCAGGTGTGTGTTGTTAGATGTGTCTGTTAGTGAACATTGTATATATTACTGCTCTGGGGCTTAGATTCTAGTGAAATTTGTTTCACAATGCAATTCCTGATGCTTATTGAGGTGCGATTCCTGATGCTTACTGAGGTTCAATTCCTGATGCTTACTGAGGTGCAAATCCGGTTATATACGTTTTAGGAAAATATAGTTTTTGTGCTTTTTTGAGTTCCACAGCTCAGTCATTCTGTATGAGAAGTTCTTGGTGTGAAATGGCAAACAGCTACTTTATTTGCAAAAATGTTTTTTTTTAGTTAGGCAGAGCTCTCATCCAGGATTATTTCAACAACAACAATAAGTAAGTAAAAGTAAAAGTCCCTTTTCACGCCTTTCGGCGCATCGGGCATATGGGCAGAGCGTTCCATATTTTTACAGACCATCAGCACTGTGGGTAATGTGGCATTACGCCGGCTGTCTTTACTTTCCCAGGACAGCCCATCCTGGTACCCATTTGAGGCTGGGTCGACCTGCGACGTCCCATACCATGACAAAAATCCACGCAGCCTGCAGTGGGTTTCGATCGCGGTATGCTGGCTTACGAGTCAGACTCGAAACGCCTTAGCCACGGACGCCGCAACAACAATAGCAACCACAAAAAATTTATGAGTTATGAGTTGGATTATCTTCACAGCACTCCAGACACATCCATAGGTGCTCAGATCCCCCATCAACAGATTATTCAGCATCCCATGGTTAATAGTGCCAATCCTAGGCTGGCTGACAATACTGTGTGCATCCAATGTGCTTCTTATGCTTGGCTGTGCAAATCTTTACTCTCAGTTCTTGTATTCTTAGCAGTGATGTGTACATGTTGCTTCCAAAATCATTGCAATCTCCTATCTCTCAAAGGCATAACTATAGCTTGTGATTTTTATACTGGGTATTGTGTACTTCAACCTTTCTAATTCTTTCCATGAATGTTGATCAGTATATGTCTATTTTTAACTCCAAATTTTGCCCAGGCAGCACCGATAGGTTACGCTTTTAAATTTCCAACTGCCACGGGATTTTCAGGAATCAAACCAATCACCTCCAAATGATGACAGCGCCTTGCCACAGGAACAAGTGTACCAAGATGCATGACCAGCCAGACAGCTCCAAGTAAAGGTATTCTTCCAATCAGCCAGGTCTATCATATAGATTGAACCCACAAAGTTTGTATCAAACCACTCAAACAACCCCAAAGTTCACACGTTTCTGTGACCTGGGGTGTTGTTTCAATGGTTTTCATTTTTTTTTTTACAAGTAGTGATGGGCATTCTGTGTAGTTTTAATTGGCACAGCAGCAGAGACATTTAGGAGTGACTGGTTTGCGATTAAGTTAGAAGTGACAATACCTGATGATCATACTGCCATACAACTCACCATATTTGTTGTACTTTGTGTGGTCAAAATCCACACCTGTTCCAGCACTGTGCTTAGAGTTCAAGGAGAAGATCTGCCAGTGAAAGGTTCTGCTACTGCTGCCACTAGTAAAGTTGCAAAAATCTGAGTTTTCAAAGTCACAGCCAAGCATCGCTTTCTTTGCTGGAAAGAAAAAAGTAATTCAGAAGTGGATATTACTGCTTATCTCAGCATCAGTTACAAGTTACATAATGCCCTCAGAGAATGAGAAGGATAAAGGACTTTGGTGGCAGTGAATCCACATAACTCGCCAGAATGGAAGACTTGGGAATTAAGATCAGCATAGCAAAAAACGAGACGCACACCAGACACGCCGGAAGACTTGTTAATCAACATAGAACTGGTACTATTAGCCATCGGATGTTAGGGTTCATACTGAGGGGAGGATCTGAGCACCTATGGACATGTCCGGAGTGCAATGATGATAACCCAACTAACTAACTAACAGTTACAATTCACTTGTGTATTTGTTTACTTTAAGAGCACTTTGTTAGAAATCAAAACTACTTGATTTGCTGTCTTTCAGTGTATTTTATGCATGGTGTCACTACCTCTTTTTGTTAGATTTGATCTTATGTATTCTATCGTCATTTTTTGTAAAAGCAATTATTATCCAAAACACACTCCCACCACATATTGTAATTTTTAATTCACCTCTTTTATTAGGATTTATGTCTGACACCTTAACAGAGTTGACATGTATATTCAGTTTCACACATAACATGTTTGACTATGGATTTGAATGTATATGCAGTTCATCAGCTGTTTCTTTGCATCTACTGAGATGACTGGGTTTTTTAGAAGACATAATATTAGATAAATACTAGCCTTCTGTGTTCTTGTTCCTATTATTCTGTCTATCTTGCCTTACTCAACTGCCAAGAACTGTGATGAAGTGTCAAGCTGTTTGCCCCATGCTCTGAAGGTAATGGTTTTGTTTCATGGCTGTGTCAATCAGTTCATGAATGCAATTTTTACAGAGATCCCTAGAGATCATGCCTGGAGCTATGGAGTTTATCTGTTATGTGATGTTCTCAGCAGGCAGCTAGCCATTCTGTGAAGAGAGACCAAGCCATAAAGGACAAAACCAGTTTCAGTGAAGTCGATATTCTCAACCTTAACTTTAATTTATCGACAAGGGATCTTTTCTAACAAGCTACATCTCCTAAAATGTTTGGGTAATTTTAGGATACCAATTTTAAACATCTGTAATAAGACAGAGAAGGTGGCAATGAACTG